CCAGCTATAGATGTATCAGAGTAGCGAAAAGGCCCGCCATGTTTGACCTAATGACCATATATTAAAGATTTATACCCTAATTTATACACTAAGTGTATTTATTATTTGTTATGTGTATAACTTATTGGATGATAGACTATCAGGTCTCAAAAACAGTAGTCAAAATAGTCAACAGGAAATGTTGGCATTCAGCTTAGATAAAAGGATCGCGCTGCTCTGGCACATCTAATGCTCTAGAATCTCGTAATTACTTGATCTCACGGTGCTGTGAAATGGTAAAAAAAGATGAGTGTGAACGAGCTCGTGATCACGAGGAAGCTTCTTAGGTAGCGAGATGGTTCGATAGTTTATTAGATCTGTAATATCGTCGGGAGCGATTCGACTTGGCGAAAGGGTTTAATATCGAGATCGGATGGGCGTGCGACATATCTTTAGATTCGTCTCCCTTTCTTGTTTTCTCCATATCAACCTTTTAGTTACAAAGGAATACTAAATTAGGTAATAACTTTGAAAACAAAAGACGCCTACATAATTCGGGTCTGTCATTAACATATAAATAATTTCAAGGAAGTCAAAGGTCACGCAGTATATACTTAAGTTTTATATTATCACACGCAGTGGCGTACTAATCCTCCCGCAAAATAAGTGTGAGATATTTCTGTAACTAGAAGAAGGTACTTAGAAAAGATATCTAACATTTAATATAATATATACATCTCTATCTATATAATGATTTTTTTTAGTGATGCCAGTTTCCTAGGTTTTCTATAAAATAATTTCGGACACGTTTGAAAAGTTCATCTTCAGCAACGGTAGAATGAACGATAGTTAAAAGCAACCCCAAAAAGATTACTAATATATAGATTTACTTTTTAAACAAAATTAATTATTTCGTTCACTATAATTACTAAATAAACCGAGTTATATTATAATTTCATACGTAACATTTCGTATCTCAAAATAATTTTGATGTAACAAAACACAATGTCGTTATTTATTTATTAAAATATTACAAAATTAATATAACACGTATACATATAATATTTTAATTATAATTGAATTTCATTTTATTTTAAAGAGATCAACGAAAATAAAATTCAATGAAAAAATTCTGCGAGGTATTAAAAAAGTTTTCTAAAAAAATTAAAGGCGCCCTTTATGACGCCTTTTAATATCTACATAACAAATTATCGTGATATCAATAAGTAATTCTTTGATATATTTTCATTATGGTGAATCTAATTAAAATCTGGTTGTATCAACGTCATTTTGAGTGAGACTTAAAATTCTCTCTGCCTCGTTTTAAACTCTAAAGAGAAATAGAGATAGAGAGAGAGAGCTTTAAATCTCGCTCAAAGTCAAAGTAACGTTGGTGCAACCAGGCCTAAGAGGTAAAAAATTATTGTTAAATTACGTTTGGAAAAATCCGGAAAAGAATACATTTTTATTTAGGTTTGCTATATTTTTTATATGCTTAGGCTAAAACAGGTATTATCGCGTCTCTTGGTAACGATCGTAAATGCAAGTTCGTGCGAAAATCTTTTTGAAAACTAATCGCTTCGTGAGCAAAGCAATTGCGGGTCATGTTTCTTTACAGGAAGTACCGATTGCGCGGCGAGTCGTTTGACGCTAGTAAAAAGCGTAAAAAAATGTGCTTACAAGAGAGCTCTCTGCGCGCTAATCGACAATTACGGATTACGCGAGCGACTATTATAGCACCTATTTTCTTTGCACCGTTAGTGATTATAGGCCGACTGGGTGTATGCCGTATTTAAATCGCACATACGTCGTTTCCAGCTGATTAGCTATTGTCCGGAGTTACATATGAAGATTCACTCTTCGTCAAACGTGTACGATTCAAATCGAGTCGTGGCATTGAACCATTTAAATATGATAACGCTATGATACCGGTATTAAATTGTATGTTTCTTTAAAGATTCGAAGAATGTAACGATTATTTGCAATTGTATAAGAATAAAAGCAGATAATATAGAATACCTATTTTTAAATTAACATTATCCAATATAAATGTATATTAATAAGACTTTTATTTTATGCATAAATATACGGAGAATTTTTTTTTTTAGAGTTTATCCTGAAAATATAATAGTCGTGGGATAACATTGTATTTCGAAGAATTTTAATGTAAATCTCTCATTCATTAATAAAAACTACAATAAAATATAAAATAAGTTTGATTAATGTTACTGAAGTGCATGGGAAAAAATCTTTACAATATTGTATTGTATCAGAACTACTATATTTTCAGGGTAAATTTTAAAAGAAAATTCTCTCCGTGTACTCTTTATACAATTTTTGAGCAATATATATTAACTATAACGTCCAATAAATAAAGTTTTCAGAATTTAAATTCAACTTCTGTGTATATTAATAAAAAAGTAAAAAGTATGAAAATGAAGGGGTCTATAAAATGGAATATAATATGAAATGCAGGTCACGTTTCAAAAATAAGTTCCTATTCGATATTAGTAGACCTATTTCACATTATCTGCTTTTACTCTAATTGATTTTAAAAGTGTATTTAAGATAAGAATATATAATTTCCGATCTGTTCCGCTTCATGAAAGTGCAGCTGTGGTATACTCTGAAATTAATCTCATAAATTTTGTTAAAAATTTACGATGTTCTTCAATTAACTTTTTTAGCATCTTATGTAAGATCTCTATTCTCTCAGTGACTTGTAGTTCAAGAGCAACTGACATTTTGGTGTATTTTGTTCAAAAAATTGAGTGTGGCTGGAAATTCATAAAATTCAAATATGCATCACGTGTTAAACTCCACGTGTATTCCCAACGCTACGTTCGTATACAAAAGTTTTCGAAACAACTCTACGACTATCAATCTCACGTGGCAGATGGCTCGTTATCAGCGGCTAGTTTGAAGAAGTCGGTACGCGTACGGCTTTATGATCCCTGTACAGAATGCGGCAATGCTTGAAAAAAAAATGCGATGCGATAGTCAGTCATTCTCTCGCTCTTATAAAAAAGCGATAAATTGATTGGTGATAACCGCTATCTAAAAACCCTCAAAATAAAAATCCTTAAGATAGAATGAGATAGATCATACATTTATCTCATTTCGTCTTAAGCAGGTTCTGAATAATATGGCGGATCAACGTATGGTGTTAATCTCCTTTGAGGATCCTTGAAGACCAATCAACAATTGTTTAAACGGTGTCCAATCTCTTACTTGAGAATCTCTACCGCGTCTTGCCGCATGCCAAGCGTTGGCGCGTTTTGCGTGCAATAAGAGACCTTCTAATCAAAGATTGGTCATAAGAAAGTATCATCTATTCTCAAAATTTTGCGAGTGAGAAAAAAGATATGTACTATTTCGTACTGAGTGGTACGAGAAAGAAAAAATATATATCATATTTTAACTAATGCGAATTACCATCAGAAAATATCTGATCTCTCAAAAGAAGCTTTCTGATTAGAGGGTCTCTAGTGCAAGTATTATCAAACGCGTTTATTTGCGATAGCGTACCGTATAGAAGGTGGAAAAAACACGCGGAATGTGCCGAACACGGTGATTTGCACAACACGCGCGTTGATTGCCGCGTATATGTACAGAAATAGCAGGCAGTGCACTCTCACGCTTTTGTCCTACTTATCTGGCGATTAGCCGTGACTTCCGCTTTCGTCTGACTCGGAAGACCGCGCTTCTCCAAGGTTGCTTTGTTCGATTGCGCGCGCGAGAGAGATTTTTCTTGGGAATCGAATCGGCGAACAATGCGATCCGCTATTTTCACACCGCTCTACGCATTCAAAATTAAAAACTGATTACTCCGCGTTAGAAAAATTCTTCATCATCTTTTCCATCGTAACTCTTCGATGCCGTTCTGCGTATTCTTAAAACTTATGTACATAAAATTATGTCTTCCATATATTTACTCAAACTTTGAAATAAAATTTAATTTAAACCTTCACCGAAGAAAAAGATTCTTTTTCCTTGTTAAAAAGATTGATATGTCGAACCATTCAGAAAGTAAGTTTGTAATAAGTTTGTAACGCAAAAGATAAATGTATATTAATATAATTAAATTTTTACTGAGAACCTCTCGTAGTATTGCCTGAAAAATCGATTTTTCCACTTGACGCCTGAATATGTTCCATCCTACATTCCCTAAGAAATCAGGTGGCGATTCAGCCTTCAAACGATATCGAACAGTGCATAAACCGGCGAAGAAATCATTCAAGGATAAGAAAGTAGGCTGTGACTCTTATAAACGTTAATTAAAAATTTAAGAAAGAATAAACGCGAGGAACACTCGCTAAACGTAATACGTACACACCGCACTGAATCAACAATTCTTCCTGTTTCAGCTGTACGGGCGGACAGAATGCGAGGCGGTAGAAACAAATTCGGGCCCATGTACAAGAGGGATAGGGCGCGGAAGCTGCAACTTATACGTCAACGGCAACTGGCGATCCAGACGATACGCGGGAGCCTCGGCGACCCGAACAGCTATTCGACCGCGGTCGCGCCCTTGATGCACATCAAGCAGGAGATCCAAATACCTCAGGTCTCGAGTCTGACCTCGTCACCGGACTCGATTGGCGGCGGCGGCGGCGGCGGCGGTGGCGGTGGAGGCGGAGGCGGGGGCGGTGGCAATCACTTGCACAATCTCAACCCAGGTCTGGACAGCAGACTCTGGGCCGCCAACTCAACTACCCCCGGCACCAAGGTCTTTAACTTCGGCGAGCAATCCGTGCAGCCACATGGCGGTGGGGTGCCGAGCTACGCGTCCAACCCCGTTGTCGCTCTTAAGACACTTAGTCCGATGATAAGGGAGTTTCTGTCGTCGATCGACGACCGCGAGTGGCAAACGTCTCTCTTCGGACTGTTGCAAAGCCAAACGTATAATCAGTGTGAAGTGGACTTGTTTGAATTAATGTGCAAAGTGCTCGATCAAAATTTGTTTTCGCAGGTAGACTGGGCTAGAAATTCGACGTTCTTCAAAGATCTCAAGGTGAGTACCTCGAATGTTTGGCCTTTTGTAGTTTTGAACGACGCATCGAGCAGCTTCACCCATTTTTTTTTTCCTTTTCTCCATTATCGCGAATTTGAGATTGTTGTCTTTCCAATATTTTAATTTGATCTAAAACTGAACGAGAGGCATTAACATATAATAACATATGCGCAAGTTAGAAGTAACCACAATAATTTTGTCGAGAATCTCCTCGACGAGAAAAGTTCGTTCTTACCGATAAATAACTCGTTGCCTGGCCTGCTCGGTGCTATGAGCGGGGATGTGAGGTAACCAGCAGCATTGCACAATCACTGAATGATTTCAAGCATCGCCTCATATCTAGGTCATAACAAGATACGTTTCTGGGTTATGGCGGTTGCCCCAAAGCAGGACCGCGTTAATTATAAATTGCATACTTTAACCGGTCGTTTTGTAATAACTTTTTATTTTTGCTTCAACACGGTGGATTTGTTAACGACAATGCAAAGCAGATCGAGGCCATTTTGTTGAAACTTTTCGTCGACAATATGGTACATTGCTGCCTGATCTTCACTATAATATATTTTATTAAAATCGTGTCACTCTTCTAAAGAGGATTTTTTTATACGATTTTTTCTAGTTTTTATAATATAAATATAAATCGATGCATGTACCAACCGCACTTTTTTAAGTATTTTTTATTATAAAAACATTTTTTCGATTTAATAAAACGAATATTTTTGAGTAATAATTAATATTTGTTTATAAATTCCGATTAAAATTACTTTAATTTAATTTATAAATTCTCCTTTCTCTTTTTAGAAATACATTTATCGCATATATTTTTATATTTAATTCTCTCTAAAAACATTTCATCGTTATATCATGTATGATTTTTTGTAAAATGGGATTAAAATGCCAAATAGAATATATAATTACATCTGTATTTCTTCGTGTATTTATTCATTATATTTAACATTTGCACGGCAATTATTTGCTAGGTTGACGATCAAATGAAGTTACTACAACACTCTTGGTCGGATATGTTGGTGCTAGATCACCTTCATCACAGGTTACACAATAATCTACCCGACGAGACGACACTTCACAATGGCCAAAAGTTTGATCTTCTCTGTCTCGGCCTACTCGGAGTTCCTTCCTTGGCCGAAACCTTCAGGGAACTATCCAAGACACTTCAAGAACTAAAATTCGACGTTCCCGAGTATATATGCATGAAATTCCTAATGCTGCTGAATCACGGTAAGTAAAATTAGATCCATCCATATTCATCTCGTTAATGATGAATTTTGAGAGACAACCAAGTTGATAACAATTAAGTTGTAAGATCCATTTGATCATTACATTACGTTTTATGTAGCTTTTTAAAAATGTACCGCAAGGATCGTTTTGCATGAACGATACAAAACGTGACATTTATCACACGACGCAATATAACTTGCTTTTTTATCCTTTGTTCCACTTTCAAATAAACCTCATTCCGATATCTTGTAATACTCAAATTAAACTTTACACATGTTTTACATAAGAGAGTGTATATATTTAATATATATTTTATGTACTGCAGATGTCCGTGGACTAGTGAACAAGAAACATGTGCAAGAAGGTCACGAGCAGGTTCAACAGGCGCTTATGGAATACACGCTAAGCCATCACCCATCTGTACTGGTGTGTTTTATCATCAAACGCTTTCTCATATACTTCACCTAAAACAAGTTAACCAAATATTTAATTGTCCTCATTTTCAATTTGTTTAGGATAAATTTAATAAGCTGTTAGCAGTATTACCGGACATTCACGAAGTGGCAACCAAGGGAGAAGAGCATCTTTATCAGAAACATTGTAGTGGAAGCGCACCAACGCAAACGCTTCTCATGGAAATGCTTCACGCCAAGAGGAAATGAAACGATCAGTTTTACTTGGTAATCTTTGCCATCGAATAAGAAAAAAGCCCGTTAATATATACATACATAATACATATCTATATATATGTATGTATATATATATGTGCGTGTATGTATGTATATGTGTATCTCGAAAGTCCTGTTAATGCCCCTAATCGTGAGACAGAGTGGACCTCAAAGTACCTATTAAGAGCTAAATGCTGCTAAGGTATCGGACCAAGTAAAGGGGCCCTGGTTCATGAAATACCTGTGCATACAAATCAAGTATAGACGTACATTATTTTACACACACACACACACACACACAACATATACATAGAATATATGTATTATAAAGTGTATCTAAATATATAAACACAATGACATATATTTTCTATATTTGATGTTGAAGTTTTAGAGATGTATCCGTGGGGAAAATTACCCCTAATTAATGGGTATAAGCGCAGGGAAACAGTAAGCAAGATGCCTTGAAAACAGTACAAAGGGTGGTTAACAAAAAATATTGGTCGAAGGGCAGGCAACTTTTGTCTAAATAAGTAAAGCTATTTTTCTAATACTTAGAGGCGAATTTATTTTTAAGCATACCACACTGAAGCCTTGCTCTCACTCGAATGAAATATATCGTACTGCTAAAAGAGAATCAAATTCTCTCTCCAGATCAATCGTGCTTCTGCAAGGGATTCAATGGGCATACTTGAATGACAATGAACTTGCATGTGATATACATATATGTTTGTCGCACGGCCACCTGGGCATCCTTAGAATTTCCTATAAAGAAAAAAATATGCATTTTTCTCACACTTGCACTCAGCGGGGCTACTATATTGTAAATACTAGTTAACATTCCAATTATGTTGTAAAGTACAGATCATGTTAAATATGTAATTACAATATTTTGTGTATAGTTGAATAATGAAATGAATAAATATATTTCTGTTGCTTACTTGAGGAAAATCATTAGCTACTTAATGTCTTCACTAATTTTAGGATCTTATTCATGTATTTTTCTTTATTACTTCTCAAATAGGTGGCGGAAAGGAATAACTACAAATTGCGATATTTTACTATTGTATGTTGTATCATAATAAAGATTCTGTTTAAGAAATAAAAGAATCATTGGAGCAAGGTTTATGTGGTCCTATATTGTCTAGCGATTAATTCTAAATGCATAAGATAATATTAAACGTATCGCAGTTGTTAAATAGAAAAGAATATTTAGTAAGTGTTAAGATAGTGATCGAAAGTAGTAATTTTTTCACTAATAGATTATTATTAATTTTATTAATTATTACTATTATTATTATATTGTTTAGCCAATAGTCAAAGAAATTCTTCAGTGCTGTGAAGGTTGTCTTTTTGACGCCTGTGGTATTTGAAGCCATTGGAAATTACATATTGTGTCAGATGCAAAGTTAAACGTGACAACAGAGACAGAAATCTTTTCTTGCATTGGTAAATTGGTAGTATTATCCGTTACGATTCCTCTTGTATTTATTCATGTATCGAACACGTACCTGCTGCAAAAAAGGCTATTTTACTACTTTCACTTTTTCCACCGATCTTTCAATATAATTAACTAGGTGTAAAGTGCTTGTCGGAAAGCACGAGAAACTTGATGTCTCATGTTAGATTAAGACTCGAGTGTTAAATCAAATCAAGGGGAACGCAGTAACGATCATTATTACCAATGAAATCAAATATTTTCTTGAGAATAACGCATGTACTTATCGCGTGAGCAAAGATTTGTGTCCACCTGTCAGATTTGACCTTATACGTCGATATAAAATATGCTAATGTTCCCAAATTTTCAAATCGTCCGGTTTTTTATGTTAAACACGAAATTGAAAGCAGCCTAGACTTATCATTATTCTCATTTTTAATAATGTTTCTTATTTGAAAAGAAAGAAAATTATTTTTATTTAACTCACGACACGAATGACTACCTCTTCATATCTGTATTAAGTTTTTATATTTTTACATTTTTAGTAACCACATACCTCAGAATATAGACGCCCAGATAGCAATTTGAATGGAATGAATGAATGTAACATGCATAAATAAATATTTTAATTCGTGTAGTGTGTATAATTACACGTTAAGAAATTACGATGTAATACAACTTATTAAAAGTATCGTACCTATTGTATGTCCACACGTTATTAGATCTTAGTTAATTATTACTATTGTATTTTCTGCAAATTAGTTTATAATTCTGTCTGTCATTTACCGTATATTAGTTACTGCTGTTTCACAACTGAAAAATATCGCTTTAAATCATTGCTGTTTGGGTAAGACAAGTTCACGCTACCGTTTATTTATTGTATCGTCTTCTTTCCTCTCAGAGACCTCCTGCTGAACGTGTCGGTCTGATAATTTTGGAACAAGTCGTATTAATCGCAAACATATGTTTAAAAGAAAAAAAGCTCCTCTAAAAAAGAAAAAAAGGATAGCTCTAAATCAATTATCTCTGTATATATTTTGTATATATAGAATAAGGCATATAAAGCGTGACATATTAATCTCCTTTAAACTTTAATTTTAGGAAAAGACGTTTTCTGTAAATATTGCAGGATTTTGAAGGAAATATAATAACGGCGATAATAGTTTTATCAGAGTGCCATTTGCCAGAGTGAATCATGAAGACGATATTTCTTTTTTGCTTCTTAATGAAACATCATTATTTTTCCTAATAAATTTAGATTAAGATTGACATTAAGGCAAATTCATCCTTTTAACATTAATGTAAGTTTTGCGCTAGTCCAAAAGCTGTATAACTTTGTTAGTAACATAAACGTGTAAGCTTGTGAAACATACACGTACATATAAAATAACAAAATAGAGAAGCATTTACGAGCACGTTTCTATTAATACAAAAGTATGAAAATTTAATAGGGGTGCGCCTAAAACTTACTCTCAAATGTTAAAAAGAATTATATTAATGGGAAAAAAATATGATCATTGTCATTTCGCAAAAATGAAATCAATTATTGTAGACGTTATATGTTCTCTTCGAAAAATCCCACAACTTTTATTCCTTAAACGTTTTCTTCTAAAATTGGTATTTTCCTAAAATATTAATACATCACGCTCTAAATGCTTCATTCTGTACATACATCAATCCCGATTAACGACTCGATTTGTTACAACACATTTATTCACCATTGTAATTAGTACGACAATTACAGCGTTGTGTACATTTCTTATGTTAAATATGTACAGTTACCAATTATGATTGGCAAATAATCTAATTTAATATCTACATGATTCTTTGATCCAATAAATTGTTGGAATAAAGTTTAAAAAGAAAAAACTATTATGCGTTGTTAACACTGCCATTAGCAGTTGGCAATTGTAAATTATGTAGAAAAATTAATTGACTGTAAATATATCTTTATTATTAACAGATAATTGTTCCTTCCTAGGGAGCTAATAGTACTATTTTTTATATATTATATTGGTTGAAACCCATAGTGATATTACTTCCCTCATTTTGGAACTTTAGGATTGGTACCAAGTTACGGAATATTCGGAGGCGAGTCATAAATAATATAAGATCAATCAGTATACTACTTTGTGAAATTCAAAAATAATATCTTGCGATTATTTGTTCTCTTATTAGGATCTACAATTTTACAAAATTTTAAAATTTTTATGCGCTCGAAAAAAGAAAAATAGTATCATAATTTGTAACTCGAATCTTATTCATGTATTATCAAATAACATATATACATATATATCTATGTATATATATATACATAGATATATGTATATATATTATAATATGTTTGCTTTGTATAAATACAAAATTAAGAACGTTGCACAGTGACTAATAAAAATATTGCAATTATCGCAATCAATTCCAATTTTTGACTTATGTTAAAACACAACATCTCTGCATTGAACTATTTTTTGTACATTTTTGTAATGTGTTAACATATAACTTGTTTCGATTTTACAGTAAATAATTTTTGGCATCACTTTAACATAGATTATTAAGATCATATTGTATGATGTATTAGAAAAACATTGAAAGCTTGCTTGCTCACTACACTAACTTTTTCATAAATTAACATTTTTATTACTTATAAAACTACTGAAGTGATAGATGTAATTCCAGTTATAATTGCTCTTGATTTGGCCAGGTGCAAATTTTACATTCTTTTCCATACAAAGCATAATGATATATTTATAATAAATACACAGCATATTATTGTTGAGGTATAAATAGTAAAGCAAAAGTCTGTCACATACTATATCATTTTACTATCCGTAGCAAGTTGTACACGCAATAATTTCTATTCAAGTTTTAATTAAATCGTGCGTGATCATCATGTTGTATGAACAATTAAGTAAAACGTCTTTTATATTTATTTTAAAAAGTTCATAAAAATATCAAATTTTTTAAAGCAAAAGAATATATTTCTTGAAGTTATAACCCGCAATTTGCTTCAAATTCTACTTTGAAGAAAATTTTCTGGCATTAGATTTTTAGATTTAATGCGCGTCTGATTTCAAAAACACATTATAAGTCTCTTCATTCATTAAGTTCTTGAGCTCGTCTGAATCGCTTAACTCTACTTTGAATAGCCAACCGTCTTTGTAACAAGATTTATTAATTAACCCGGGTTTACTTTCAACTGCCTCATTTTTCGCTGTGACTCTCCCGCTGACCGGACTTGTCAATTCTGAAGCTGCCTTCACTGATTCTAGAGCTCCACATTCCTCTAAAAAAATCATAGTTAATCTGTGAAAAACATTTCGAATATATTTCCAGCCTAAATTTTAAGATAATGTCGTACACTGCAACTAAAAGTAAGGATAGGAAAATTAGATAAGTCAAAGCTTAAACTAATAATTAAGTTTGTATCCTATCAATAGCTTTGACTTCTATTGTTTAATTTTCTTTTCTCGATTGTACATCTTAGAATCTCGTGTTAAAATAAATTTAAAAAAATAAGAAAAAATATGTTAAACATTCCAAAGTTATAGAGTAATAAATAGTCTTTTTTTTCAATGAGAGACATTCCAATTTACGTTTCTAGAGATAATCTCTTCAATTTCTGAAATTTTTCCGAAATTTGGTTGCGCTAGGTAAAAAAGTGTCATATCAGCTACCATTTTTCTTGATTGTTGATCCTACATCGGGAAGTTGCGCGTACACCACATCTCCGAGAGCATCCTGCGCGTAATCCGATATACCGACTGTACCGATTTTGCCATCTACTGTTATCCATTCGTGCTTATCGGTGTACCATCGTTCTGAAAAATCACGCGTTTATCTCGCAACCGTGATTTGATTTATTTTAAATGGAGTTACATCATAGAAAATTTATACAAATTATACAATAAAAGTATTTGTACCGAAAAAATAAAAAATATGACAATATAATAGAACATATTAGTTCTTGGATGACTTCGGTCAAACTTTGACTAACTTGATCGAAATGAATTGAATTAACTTATCAAGTAATAATATCTGAATTTTTTTTTATTTTGTTAACATGAATAATTATCAATTTTTTTGTTTTGTAAAAAAAAAATAACTGTCAAAATATATATACTGAAAAGAGTGAAATTAAGAACAAAAATGCTACCAGTCGAATGAACTCCTGATGATGGACTTGTTGAGTCCATTTAATTATACTTTCTTTATGTTACATCTGTAAAATTTTCGATCATTCTTATTAAAATAAACTTATACATACACTCATTCTTTTATTCAAGTATGTCATTTTGACTTTTTGAAATTAATTAATGTTTAATTATCTTTCAGTCAACATAAATTAAATGAGTCTTATGAGACTCTCAATAATGTCAGGAATTGCTTTTGACGTTAACTTCGGCGGTTAATCGTCCACACACACACACACACACACACACACACACACACACACACACACACACACACACACACACACACACACACAGAGTTGAAAAAATTATATTAAATTAACATACTTCACGTGTTCCAGTTCGGTTCACCTAACTTTTATGCTAATTTAATACAAAGTGAATATGTTAGAAAATAACCAAACATTACACAAAAATTAACATAAAAATGTAACATATCTGACATAATTTGGAAGCAAATTATGGAAACATATTTCTTCAACAACATTATAGCATTTATAATTTGATAAATTTAAATATGGAAATTTTTAATATGTTAAATTAACGCGTACATCCATCTTTTATCTATTTACCTTAGAATTTATATTTTAAAACTACATTTTTGTTACTTATTCACTTACTCATAAATTGTGTTATTTTAACAGTAAAAAATGCTAATTATCAATTTAACACAACACATGTAATAAGGATTGGTTTTAACATAAGTACAAAATATTTTTTACTCGTGTTGAGATTAATCGGACTTTGGTCGAATTCGCTTCTATTATTTTAATTACAACAAATTTATTATATATAAAATTTCATATATACATATATATATGTATAAATTTATATATAAACTATCACGCACACGCACACACACATGCACACATATATGTATATATAAAATTATTTTTATATAATTTATATAATATCAATTTATACACAATACATACATATCATACACAATTCATCCAGTTATGCAAACGCGCGCGCGCACGTGTTCACAAATCCAAATGAATTTTTCACGAGCGTTGATTAATATCAACAATTATACTTATAAACAAGACACGAAGATAAGAAAACAATAGATAGTATTCAGCGATGAAATCGTTTGTTTGTACTATAAATAGTTTTAGCAAACACATACTGACGCTTTTCAAAAAGCCAAATCAGCGAGTCACTCACATTTTCACTTACCATCTCTCAAGTACTGAGTTGTGGTTATGGGTCGCACTATGGCAAGGGGTATCTTCGACTTCGCAGCTGTATGGAGCAAATCGTGCGAAACGGTTTTTATCGCGCACCTGCTAATCTGGGCAATCAATCTTGCCATTTTTCCTTCGCCGTCGCGATCGCCGTGCAGAATCGCGCACGAACTGTCCTAACCTCTTTTTTTTTCACTCCACGAAGATAAGGCCGCACGCGCGAATGCAACTGGCAGCGAGAGCAAAACGGAGATGATTCTCGGTCGAATAATGAAAGACAAGATTATAATCCAGCCTCAGCACTTTTCTATCATTATCGGCTCCTCTCTTATCTCGGAAATTTAATTGAACTAAATATTCGAACGAATCAACATGAACAAGCACAGATGTACGATAACACGTTCAAATCTCGCCAAAAGCTTCTATCTCGCTAAAAGAATCTATCAAAAACAATTTTTTTTTTTTAATCTTAGTCTGCTTTTCTCTACTCGAAATATATAATTGCTGATTGCGTACACAAGTCTGGAACAATCGTGAGTACAATTGCAAACAAATAGCATGTGACCTTTATCAGTCTTGAGCAACCGCGAGTTAATTTTATTAGTTTCATATTTCTGTTATCAATCAAAATCGTCAACAGCGAATGTCGTGTAAATGTTACTTATTAAATTATAAGAATGATATCTCCAGATAGAGTCGTTGAAAATTAGAAAGAAATAAAAAGGAATGACATATACAGATTGTAAATTAGACGGGTTCAAATTTTAATATATAATCTGCTCCGATTACACATGATTAAATAATGTAAAGACAATTTCGTACAATCTTTTAAAAACTTACAAAAAATAGACACATACAACACTGATCACATGTTGGAATTTTGATAAAATAAAAGCAATTGTTGCATTACAATTTGCATCTGTAAACTTTGTATGTTAAACTACATTATTCTAGATGTATATTAAAAAAAAAGAGATCAAATTGATTGCATCTTGCATATTTACATTCGAACGATATTAAAATAGCTTTCATTACATAATGATCAAAAATATTACCATGTTATTGTTATATAGTTCTCTTTTATTATTTATATGCATTACCATTCATAAAAGGTTTCTGAATATCCTTAAAAATAAAATTTTTGCGTAATTTTTTTATTTTGGGACATAATTTCGCTCATTTGCCACAACACAAAAAATAAAGTTTTCCAGAAAATAAGTTTAAATGTCTAAAATCATTAAAATTTTGTAATGTTAATTTTAAAATGTAATTTTGATGTAATAATTACACAGGAATAAAATTATATACAGAGGAATAAAATATCTTTTTAAAGTTTCTTTATGTTTTTATTCTTTTTCTGCAAACAATTGAAAAAAATGAAAACTTTTTAATTATATCGTTATTATAAGTAAATGAGCGCTTTAATCCTTCGTAGTTATAAAGTAACAAACGTATTAGTTTTGGTTTGATATTATAAATTAATGAAAAACTTACTTTTTTCATTAATTTATAATAAAATAATGAAATAAGTTTACTGGGTAATGAAGAGCCAACCGTAGTACTTGGTGCGTGAACTTATTTTATATATTATAAAGAAATTACATGAATTTGGTATTCAACCCTATTCTATTAAGATCGAAGTTTTTACATGTTTCGATTACCTGCTTGAGTCATCATCAGAAATACAATAAATCAAATTACAATTGAAATTCGTCTTCTCGGAATATAATATTTTTTGATAAGCTGTTTCCAGAATAATTATAGCTCTTCACATGTAATTTATTTCATTATAATTGTTATTAATTAGAGCCCTTTATTTTTGTGTTAATAATTTTTCATTAAATATTTTCCTGGGTGATAAGTAAGAAAAGTGTATCCACAAATTATAACACGGACGGAATCTCCAAAGTGAAAAATATTAAATACATTTGAAAAATTAACAGAAATATGTAAGGCTATAATAAAAACAAAAAGATTTTTTCAATCCGTGACAAAACTTTTATCATTTTATGGTTTAAAAAGATCTAATTATTGTAGATATATTGCCAAATAAAAAAATTACGCAAGAATGTTCCATTTGTAAGATTGTTTACTTACTATTACCACCTGAGATTGTAACGTCAGAAATGAGATAATAAAAGTTTTCGCAAAATGAAAACAGCTTGATTTACATACATAATATGTAATTTGATAGAATTATAATTTCTTTCGTTACAATTATAAGTATGCATATAAAAAATTTGAAGTGTTTGTCAATAAGTAAAAATTCATTATAAAGTTTAAATATGTAGAATTAGATGAAATATGTAATTTTATAGAATTTTATAAAATTCTATAAAATTTTATTAAATTTTATAAAATTCTTATTCAAGATTATTGTTATATGGACATTTAGGTTAAGCTCAATCTTGCAAGATGTAAAATTTATAGACAATATTTTTCGAAGCACGTGAGTTAAACTTTAAGAGGACAGTAATAGCACACTTCGAGAACATTTCGTAATACATGTTATCAAAATTCTGCAATATCAGTGACCTCACTGAATATCAGTGACCTCAGATATCGGCGTCGTATTACGATTTGTAGTTATAATAAATAAAAAATCGTTTCCAATGAAGAAAATATTCATGTATCATATCTTTTATATATACGAATGCATTTCTTTCTATTTTTTATCGTTCCTAACGATAAAAAATAGAAGGAAATATAGGGATATTTAACAATACAATATCTTTGAAGCGTAAGTGGAATAAACAGTTGAATAATATTTTGAAATAAACACCTCAGAAATATTCGCTGTGATTCATATGTAAATAAAAAGATTCATATCTGGAGACACGATAGTGTCACGGTTCCTATATTACATCAAATTTATGTCAAATTGAAATCTAATTTAGTATATTAATATTAGTTTAGCAATTTGACAAATTTGAAATAAAATTAATGCTAAAATATTCGAATACTGTCCAGATTGGTCAGAAAATTTAATTATAAATCTAATAGTTAATATTTAATAATCTGATATATATCGTATATCGGAACATTGTTAAATGAACAAGTAATAATTGTTACGTTATAATCCGATAACGGAAGAACGTCCAGTTGTATTGTGGATTGAGACTGGTATGGGTTTACTGAGACACCATTCATACCATACTTTCTTAGAACCACATCTGCGCCAGAAATGAACCACTATTTCATCTCCTGCCTTTAATTGTACTGGTTCCTGTGTATTGATAAATATTTTTTTTATCTACCACAAAACTTATACTTTACAAGTATACTTTTAAAGAATAAAAGTTATTTGAAATATACCTTAAGTGGAAAAAAGATTGGGAACCAACTAAACATATCTGAGCTATATGTGCTAGGTTCTATGCTTAATGTAATGTTTTCATATAAAACTGCTGTGAAGTATCCTGAAAATCCATGTAATACACAATTTTGTTCTACTTGAAAAGTCTTAATTTCATATCTCGAATTGTCAGCAAGAGCGTCTAAAAAATTACAAACATGTAAAGAAATTAAAATAATTAAAATATAAAAAGTTGAATATTTTTTACAAACCTGTATTTGGATGTTTGAATGTAAAAAGTGGTTTCGGGTTTGCTATATCGTATTTATTTTGAAGATGTACTACGTATAGAGTTTCAAAATGAGCTAATGGATGTTTGTCCTTATCTCTAAGTTGTCTCACTTCATTGTACAATTTAGAGGATTGCATAGGAGCTATGAATGAAGTGTATGATTGTGGTATGTTAATTCCATCATCTAATAAAAATTTTAAACAAGTAGTTAAAGAAAAGATTAATACTATTAATGCAAGATTAATATCATTTACGTAAGGTGGCATGCAATGCAAACCTCTTAAGAATTTAAGGACATTATCTAGACATTCTGGTGACAATTCGTTATCGCCAAAGGATCCGAGTAATTCAGACACAATTATATCAGCTTTTTCCGGAGGATTCCATTCCCTCATATCGCATGATATCACTGTAACTTTTTCTTTCCACATATCTCTTTGAAGGGCCTGTAAACTGTAAACATAGATAATGAAATAATGTACACATGTAATTCGTGATTATTTAAAACTTGAAATTATTGGATAAAAAGTCTTCTCTATTTCATTTTAAAATAAATAAATAAATAAATAAAAATAAAAGGATATAAAATTGTTATTTTATTAAATAAAATATTGATTCTTTCATTTTAACTATTTTTAGATAGCTTTATTACTTTTCTTCTAATCGAATATCTAGTTATATTACATTTAATAAAGATTTATTTAAAAATATATTTTAAAAAGCAAAAAGATTTTTTATCCAATCCAATACAATTGTTATTTTAAAATGGTCTCACGTTATTATGGCATTAGGATTCTTCTCCACTGCATATACTTTTACTTCCCGATATGCCATTTTCGCGGCATTCAGAGATGCAGTTACAAGCGGTCCTCTTCCAGCACCAACTACCATAATGACTCTAAAAATTTATAATCTTGTTATACATTTTTCTATGGATATTATCTTTATTAATTAATATGATTCGACTTACATCGTTCTTTCCTCTTGCATTTTATATACCATTGCATTTATAGCTTCGTATATAGCACTTTGATATTCTCGATATTTTACAGGATCCTTCTCAAATATTTCATAAGTTTGTGATTCGAGATTATCCATTAGAGGCTGTAATGGACATTGTAGATAGTCCTCATATCCTCGAGCAAATTTTTCCACTGTTCCATCATTTTGACATCCCTTAAAAAATGACATTATTTTATATATTCTACAAAATTAAGTATTTATCTTTAGAAAACTTCTTTAGTTTTACCTTCCATAGATAATCAAGATAGTTATGATAATAACTAACACTTTGATAACGTGATGCACCTGTTAAAATAAATTGTACATCTTGCATAGCAAATCTTTTTACTAATGCTTGATGTGCTTTACTTAGTACTGGATATCCCTTTTTATTAGTTAGAAATAACGTTGTTGGCAAAATTAAACATCTCACTGGTTCTCCGAGCCACCTATCAATCTTTTAAATTTAAATTAGTTTATACATATCGCATTCATATTGCACAATTTTAATTTGTAAATTTAATTTATAAGCTACCTCTTCTTCTTCAGGCAAGTCATGACTGACAATTAATGAAACTCCTAATTTTTTATTATAATCACATATTACTCTAAAAGAATTCCACCATTCCCATGGATTCTCGTCTTCCGAATAATCTTCTGTTCTATAAGAATAGGTTTGTCTAATTGGATTCTCCATAGGAACTTGTATCCACACCTATAATAATTAATATATCTTAATAATTTAAAAAACTATTAATTTATCTAATTCTACAGTTTATAGATTCTATATCGGTAAATATATTTCCTTGTTGTTTAACATAAATGACATTATCCTTGTTTCAAAACATTTATTTCTAAAAGTATATTGAGTACTAGTCATGCATATTTTCTAATTTAAAAATTAAAACTATAAATTACAATTTATTGTGTATGCATGCATGTATATACATGTGCTACCTGGAAAGTACAATTGTTGTTTGATATTTTATCAGAAATGATCCTTGCAAGATTCACATTTTTGTTTATCCCATATTTCAATTTTAAAGTCACTCCCGATAAACCAAAATGGCTAGCTAAGCCTAATTCTTGATTCAAAGTCTCTTCGCTATTTTTTCTAATAATTGGATTGGTCGAGTCAACATTGATAAGTGACGAAAACTTCGCAATTATTCTATTATTCCAATCTGCAATGTAATATTATAGATTATATTTGAATTTGATTTTATTTAACTTATTTTTATTTGATTTTATTTAACTCATTTTTATTAAAAGTATCGATATAATTCAATGATCAGCATTAGATACAACTTTTGGTCAGATTTTTATGTTAAATAATGTGTATGTCCATTATCCCTTACTTGCCATTTATATCTTGAAAATTAACTAACAATAAAATCTATGATACTTTATCTCGGAAGTGGTTATAACAAAAAATTTTATAACAGCAAAAGGTACAATTCTATCAAATGATAAGTCTATTTTTTATGCTACACTTTCTGAACTAGGGTACACAGTGCAATAAGTAAAACATATATTTGAAATATACATTTGTTTAACTTTTACTTATTGCATCGGTTCAGAATGTAGCAATAAAAAACAGATCTGATATCACCGTTCCTGGAACAAGGTTACAAAGACAGAGAACATCGACATAAAAATAGCTGAAAGTTATCTATGGTCTAATGCTGATCACTGATATAATTAATAAATATAAGTATATATATTATAAATATATATTTAATTTATACCTGAACTGTTTAAAACTAAATCAGGCCTAGTGAGTGGTCCTGGACGATTTTTGGCAGGTCCAGAAATAAATTCTCTTTTAAATAAAGGATGGACCAAGGAGATACAAATAAATTCATACCTGAAATCATGAACAAAAATAATAATGTACATATGCAAATTACAATGAATAAAGACAAGTAAAAAGCACGATATTTAAACATATAGAACATGTAATAACAATTTACCTTGATTCAGACGCATAAATTAGACAATCATTTAAATTTACAGCACAGCACAAATCCAACCCACAGGAAAGTCGCTGATTTGTCATTGCAATATATATAATTAAATAATGTACTTTTTTCTGAAATATTTCCGGTTGATTAATATGATAAATGTGACTTTAACACCTTTTATATATCATATTGCAAGACCTATATATATAAAAAGAAAAATAATAATATAAAAACTTCGTAATTTAAACAATCTGAATTAAATAATAACCAATAAGTAATCAGAAATGCCGGCTAAACAATATTTTTGCTTTGTACGTACCGGCGATTTGATCAATACTAAATGGAGGATAAACAATAAATAAAATTACACGTGCATAACAACGCGTAAAAGGTTATGTTTTATCAGAACACGGAATACAACTACAGACTATATAGATAGATAGGCAAAATCTGCGTGCAAAAGCCATATGAATACCGGCCTATATGTCGATGCCAGACTCTGATTAGAGGGTCTCTATGGAAAACCTGGCAACCCTGGGTTGCGTTCCAAAATTCAACTCTGTCAACTCCGAGTATCATTTTATCCTTGGTCATCAAATGTTGAATAAAGATAAAGGATACTCGGAGTTGACGGAGTCAAGTTTTGGAACGCACCAACTGGTGCTGGCTTTATTTTGTGATCACGTGCTTTATACGCCGGTTTTCCATTATCACGGATCGACAATATCAACATCAATAAAACAAATGTAAAGAATAAAGATCATTTGTCTTGAAACGTCCTAAAAGATCTTCTAAAAGATTTGTTTTAGTGATGTTGATAATGTCAATAATGATGCGATTTTTAAAAATCGGATAAATGCTTAATATAACGCTTTCTCCTCTGATTTTCCTGTGATTATAGAAATTTGTATTTTATTGCGTAGAATAGATTCCGAAAAGAGAGAAAAATCGTTAAGTGTCGCTTTTGTTTTTTTAATTTCAGTTTTTTTAGTTAAGTCAGAAAATAATTTTTTAAATGATAATTCTCTGCTCTCACTCTCTACACATTCTTTGCTTTAATTAATTAAAAACACAAATTATTTTCTTATATAATTTAAATTATAGTAGTTTGTGTTTCAAAATTTGTATTTACCTTCCTTATTCTTTTTATGTAAACATCAAAAAATGTTGAAATATAAAAAACGGAACTTGAGTTTTCCAATGATTTTTCTTCTATTAAATATATTTTATACATGAAAATGCAAAAATTTATAAAATTACAGGAAAATCGGAGGAGAGCATTATATTAAGTATTTGTCAAAAATTGTATCAAGTTATTGTTTGTCTCAAATGTGATTTATATATTCGAATAATGTACATAATAGGCATACTTCTACGAGAAACTTGTAATTGTTTGCTGAATAATATTTTGGATAAATTATATAGTTGCAATGTTTATGAATTAAGTGGTAACTGCTTTTCTCTCAAGAAACAAGTCGACACGAATGTTGTTGTATCTGTATTATTCATGAAAAGAAAAAAATAAAACAACGTTTATGTCGGCTGCATTTCCTGAAGAAAAGCAGCCTATATCGATTATATAATATAGTTAAAATGAAAATAATTATACCGATAAAATTCTTTACAGCTCCAGTGATGAGATATTAGCTTTCATTACTGATCAAAGTGATTTCAATGCTACCAGATCTATAATTTCAATGTTGATGACGCTCCAATTAGACAAGAAAAATGTCTTTAAAATTATTGGTGCGTTCTTTAATTCTAGAAAGACATGATAAATTTTGGATGTTTTATCGTCGTTTATATTCTAATGATAGTAGCATTATAAATGATCCAGTACCTGGGATATCATTATTTCACATAAAACAAGTACTGAAGCAAAAGAATATTAATACCATTGATGGACATGCATGTCTAGTCACTGAGTGTCCTATATGTGATTCTGAAAAATCTAAGAAGGCAAATATTTATATTAATAAAACAACAGGTAAAAAGAAAGATATATAAAATACTAAAATGTATAGAACGTATTTGATAGAAGATACACAAAGAGATTGATAAAATAATTGTATCTTATACAAATATATATTTGTTTATTACAGGATATTTTTTATGTGATAAATGCAGTTCTAAAGGAGAATGGAATATATTGGAGAAATTTTTATTAACAAAATCAACCAAAGGAAATAATATGCAAAAAGAATTGGAAACTTTGAGAAATGCTATAAAAGTTCAAGAAGATTATGCTACAAAATGGAATAACATAATGAAATCTAATCAGAAAATTGCAGATTTGTCGTCAGAGTTATATGAAGAAGTTCTGAATATATTCTCTCTTCCAGTAAGATAATTAACATAGATTCAATGTTTACACACACACACACACACACACACACACACACACACACACACACACACACACACATATATCCAAATATTACGCATTAATGAAAATTATTACAGAGAATTTCACAAGAGGACATTTTACCATTAAATGGTATATATGCAGCTGTTCCAGCATTATTATATTTTCCATTAATTGCTTTCGGTACTGTTGTGGGTTATAAAACTCTTTCTTGTAAACCGGAATTAGAACAAACCGTACCTATTTCCAATGTTAGTGGATTTATTTTTTATAAGCAAAAAGGTAGTAAAAGTGATGCGACTGCAGTGGTTGTGCCAACAATACTCGATTTATTAGCGTTAGCATCTCGAAAGGCAGCAAACGTGATCATTTGCTTGCCGTACAATTTACAACACTTGCCACAGCAGTTGTTGCCAAATTTTGAAAATTTTAAAAAATTAATTCTCTGGTTTGGAAATGACGAACCTAGCTGGTATACAGCCAGACAATTCGCTAAGAAATTAAATGAGAAGAGATGTTACTTTGTGAGACCAATTGACACGCAACCTAGACCAAAATTAGCTGCTGACAGAAACTATGACCTTAAACATATTTTAGCAAATGCACAACCAGTCTGGCATAAAAGTATTACTATTTTTGATGACCTCAGACAAGATGTATTATGTGATTTGCAAAATATAGATAGAGTCCAAGGTGTAAAATGGAAAAGATATCCTGCCTTAAATCGAATTTTAAAAGGACACAGAAGAGGAGAGTTTACAATACTAACTGGCCCAACTGGTAAGACAGATCAGTTAACTACTAAAGAGATAACTAAATCATTTGCATCAGAGGATGTTGTGTTTATAAAATTACATTTTTTTTATACATATCAATGGACTTTTAGGCAGTGGCAAAACTACATTTATGAGCGAATATTCGCTAGATTTAGCAATGCAAGGCGTCAATACATTGTGGGGTAGTTTTGAAATCAGAAATGCTCGGTTAGCTAGAACTATGTTGCAGCAAATGGCGGAAATATCGTTGGAAGACAACTTGGATAAATTCAATACATATGCAGATGCTTTTAGCAAATTACCAATTTACTTTATGACTTTTCACGGTCAGCAGAATATCAAAGTTGTTATGGATGTATGACATTGTCTATAAAACATTATCTATAAGTGACAAATTTGGTGTTGTATATAACTTTTCGCTTTTTTATTTCAGGCAGTTATGCATGCAACGTATGTACATGACATAGCTCATGTGATAATTGACAATATGCAATTTATGATGGGCATGTCAGAAGAAGTGACCGATAGGTGAGACGAATGTGTTTTATCTCTCTTTGAAAAATTGATTTTTTATACAGCATTATATCGTAGATTTTGGAAACAAGACAAGATCATAGCACAGTTCAGAAATTTTGCTACAAAATATAATTGTCATGTTACTTTGGTTATACATCCAAGAAAAGAACGAGATGAAGAATTGACAGCTTTGTCTATTTTTGGCAGTGCCAAAGCAAGTCAAGAAGCCGATAATATATTGATTATACAAGATAAGAGACTTATTAGTATAAAAGGAAAGAAATATTTACAGGTATGTACTACACATCTGCAATTGTATGATATATTTTTCAATCTTCAACATGAGTTATTTTATCTTGTATCCAGGTTGCAAAGAATAGATACAGCGGAGATTTAGGTATAATGCTTCTAGAATTTGACAAAGCCAAACTTAGTTATGCATACAAGAAAAAGGTAAAATCAGAAGAAGTAAATAAAACAAAAGAAGTAAAAGTAAAAGAAGATATTTCTTCGGTAAAAAGTTAAATTAAATTATAAGAAAAATATGACCAAAATACAGGAAAAAATTTGCCAATCAATGTATATTTTATAATAGTAAAATACAAATTTGTATAAATTCTGTGATATATTTTTTGTACAAAACTTGGAGGGGACAGGAAGAGGAAAAAGATGAGGAAAATACAGAGAAGGGGAAAGCAGAGGATTCAGATATATAACATAATTTATATACATATACATGTATTTAAAAAATTGAATAAAGAATGTTATAAGATTAATTGCACTGGCTGTGTTCTGTTATTTGCTGCGAGTACTGAAAATCTATAGTTGACGTTACGTTATAGATTTTCAGTATATTATATTGCGCAGTAAACATTTAACGAAACGCAGCCACTATGTGATGAACATTGCGTACAATTTCCTGTTTTATCGATTGCGCACACCTACGTACTTGTGATAATAGGATGAGAATGATGAGATAGAAAGATCATATTAGAGGAGTTGTCTCTTCGTATAATCTCCACATTTTCATCTATCTAGATTTTCTAATAGGCGAACACGAAAAGACACGTGTGTGATTAAAATGTACCGATTTTATATCTGTATCACGATGATCCTTCGAGGACATCTAATTATTTATTCTCTCATTGGTTTCGCGTGGTTGGTTACGTGCGACACAATCTCAAAAGAACCGACTGTGCTAATTAGTGTCCTTGTTAGAAATAAGGCACACACGTTGCCATACTTTCTGAGTTTATTGGAGAACCAAGATTACCCAAAGAAGCGAATAAGTTTTTGGTGAGTAACGAGACATAACCTCACTCTTTTGTTCGGTAATGATATCGTAAAACTCGTGAAAGCACTTATAAATTCATCAACATAATATAGTTTTTGGGTACTGAGGTAATTATAATTAAAAAATTGATCAGCGTTTTCCAATTTAGATGTTAAAATAATGCAAGAATTCACTCCCATTACTTATTGAGAATTGTCTTATATTATGATTATACGTAATCGTCAACTAAAATTAAATCTCAAGTATGAGCGAATACATGAAAATTAGAAATACTTGGAAACAATCGCTTCCATCGATTGTTGTCACATTTTCATTCGTTCCATCACGATTTCAAATTTATTTATAAATTTGAAGTTGCCCGCCAATCGATGCGGCGCATGCGGAAACACGTCGATTCGCAAATGCGCGAATATATAATACCGCATGTGTTTGGACGTTTGTGCCGCACCAATTTTAAGAGACTTCACGCTGTAGATTTTTGGAGATTTATCTATTTTTATTTGTGTTATTATATTTATTAATATTCATTTCGACCAATGTAGTTAACTTTTATCTTGATTCAACTTGCTTTTTACAAATATTTCTACGAAAAATATAACAGTGCAGTCACTTCAAGTAAGATGCGTAGATTTTATATTAATCATTTCAGGATACGCAGCGACAACAATGTTGACAATTCAATCGAGATATTGAACAAATGGATTAGTTCGAAGAGCAAGATGTATCATTCCATGAACGTACATTTGAATGCATCGTCGACAGGTTTCGAGGACGAGAGATCGATCGCCGATTGGTCGCCTCGCAGATTTGCACATATAATAGATTTGCGTGAACAAGCGCTTGATTACGCAAAAGAAATATGGGCAGATTTTATTTTGGTAAGCTAACTTTATTTTGTTATCTTGCAGTTACTTTGATTAATAAACTCCAATTAATTTAATTTTGACTATTAATTCAACTGGCAAAATCATTTGAAGTAAAATTTTTAATTATAATTTATATTGTGCCCCTGTTTAAATTAAATTATAATTAAAGATGTTACTTCAAATAACTGACAGTTGAATTAATAGCCAAAATTAAATTTGGAAGATAATTTCTCTGATAAAAATGCAAAGCTTGTCGAAGCGTCAAAGAAGTGTAAACAAAGAGTTTTAACGCTTCTTAAACACTTCATTGATTTTCCATTGACTCTTAAGCCCAGTTCCACAACTCATAGTTAACTCTTAACCGAGATTCAACTTGTTTCTCATCTTTTTCCAATTCTAAAATTGGAAAGAGACAATGAATAAGTTGAACCTCGGTTAAGAGTTAACCGTTAGTTGTGGAATTGGGCCTTAGTGGTTTTGAGTATTCATACACGTTCCCCGAACTCCGAAGAGGACCTCAATCACATTTCATTCACGTTCGCTTAAGAACTCGACGATGCGCGATGTTCTGTTTATGTTCTTTAATGTTAATTTAAAAACTATTTTCTGTCTTAAATTATACCATAAATGATACAATAAAAAAGTTTATAATTATATTAAGGATATAAAACAATATTTGTTAGTGAATGATTTCAGACAAGTGTTTCAAGAATACTAATAAAAAAAAATTATAGTAGCAATATGCATTATAGGGAATCGCGTCACTTTTTCATTTGTCTGATACATGGACGGATATTTACAGACTACATGAGAAAAAAGAACAAAAATGAAAGAAAAGAAAACTTCTTGTGTGTGCAGATGCTGGATGCTGACGTTTTTTTGATCAATCCAAGCACTATTCGTAATTTGATACATAAGGGGCATACTGTTGTTGCGCCTTTATTAAGATCGGACGGCATGTATAGTAATTTTTGGGCTGGAATGACAGCAGAACATTATTATTTACGAACAGAGCTCTACGAGCCGATCCTATTTCGCGAGAAAATTGATTGCCATAACGTGCCCATGATCCATAGCGCAGTACTCATAGATCTGAGAAAACGCTACTCTGATTATCTTACCTATAAGACCGAAAAATTGATCGGTTATGATGGACCAATAGACGATATCATAACTTTTGCCATAGGCGCAAATAAATCAGGTAAATATTAAAAGTTATCGTCTATATATATTAAAGTTGTCAAAAGTTAAAATATGAATTATAAATAATAGTACGAGATTTGCACCGATTAAATACTGATTCTTCAAAATTATTAGTTTATATTCTGTTCTTACTACTTTGACTTAACTTTTAATTCTATAAGGAATTAGATTTGATTTCGACTATTAAAAATTTTTACGTACACACAACATATGTATAGTCTGTGTTTCAAAATTCACTACCAGCGCTGAAAATGTACAGTTTTCCTTACGTATATACTATACATTTTCAGCATTGGTAGTACATTTTGGAATACAGCCAATGTTTATGTTGTAGATGTGTCATTGTTCGTGTGTAATGATGACGTTTATGGTTTCATTATGGTACCTTTGGAAAATGATGAGACTATCGCAGAAGATATGCAACGGTTGACTAATACCAAGGTGGAAATGTTAGGTAAGCTTGCTTCTGGAAGGGAAGAAGCATAATATAAATAAATAAAATAAATAAGTAATTGTAAATGAACAAGAATAAATTTATGTGATAAAATATCCAATGTGATAATATTCAATTAGGAATATTACAATATAATATTACAATATAATATTATCCTGTTGACAGTGTTGATTGACATAAATTGCGTTTTGTACAGCATTTAGCGATTATTTGCCGTTGTTGGATGATTTAAAAGAATTCGTGATATATCCGAAGAAAGACACCTTGGGTATGGATGACATTTACATGATAAATCTATTAAGAAGACCAGAGAGACGTAGAAGGATGCAGAAACTTTTTGAAGAACTCGGTATTCAAGCGGAAATTATAGATGCTGTGGATGGTAGGTAAGTTATACATTATACAAGATAAAAAGAAATATATCTTTTATAAATGCAAAAATTCGATACATATCAATATTTCGGGTAAATATGTGCATAATTTAACTCCAATATTCTCTGTCCATTTTTAGATATAATTATTTTAAGAAAAATAATTCTCTGGTTATTAGAGAAAAGGCCTCTATTATGAGATACCGAGTTTATTTTGGATAAATGCTAGAAGTCTATGGGCAGAATTTAAAAAAATAATAGGTCATTTTGAAGGGAATTTAATAAGCTTTAAGATAACGTTATATAAAATTTAATTCAAATTCCATTTTTTTTTTAATTAAAGAAATGTAACTTATGTATAAACTTACTTTTTGGTTATATCTTTTCCAGGAAATTTTCATTGTCAGGTATTTTTTGTCAATTTGTGCTAATTTATTTAATCTCATCTCATTATTCTCTTTTATCATTTCAGGGCTTTGAACGAGAGTTCCCTGAAGAAATGGGGCGTGATACCGATGTCCGAATATTCGGATCCTTATCATAAAAGGTGAAAATAGACGCGTGAAAAAATTTTATTTAATCGGTTAAATTTAAACTAAATTAAAAAGGAAAATTTCAGACAGCCAGATTGTTCGTTAATGATGCATGATCTGTCAGATTTGTTTTAAGTATGAAATCGTTTGTACTACTTTCCTTTATAATTCTCGTAATCTCTATAATAATTTATCTTCCTTTACGCGTAGACCAATGACGATGGGCGAGATTGGCTGTTTTCTGAGTCATTATATCGTATGGCAGAAGGTAATAAAAGGCATTCTGGAAAGAAAAAAAAAATTTTTTTTTAATGTTAATTACTGACGTAATATATATTAGGTACTAGAGCACGGTTATAAAAGCGTTATGGTGTTGGAGGATGATGTTCGCTTCGAACCATTCTTTCGACAGAAAGTCGATTACGTTTTGGCGGAATTGTCTAATCTCAAACTTGAATGGGATTTAATGTAAGTCATCAATTTAGCAAAATTTATTATTTTCCAATCACCAAACTATTTTGTTGCGTTGTTTCGTAATTCGATTGTGTATCTCGATCAATTTTCTATGATTCTACAATTGATCTTATTTGAAACTGGCATATAAAAGTAATGGTTATATTGAAAAATCGAAGAAAAAAAGATTGAAATAAAAATATTAAAGCTTTGTTATACCAATTTGCAATTATAGCAGTGGTAAAACTGGTTTAATAATTTTCTCGCTCTTTTGAATTTTATGGCAATAAAAGAAAATTTATTTGAGGAAAATTAACTCTGAGAGATATTGGATCT